CTTGGTCTGCCCAGCATTTTGCAGATAGCATTGGGAATGAAATTAGTATTGAGTCCCTGCATGAATATTTTGTCTCTGCCACGAGCAACTCACAGTCCCCTAAAGTGAGTCTGTAGGTGCCTTCTGTACTGGAAAGAGACATCTCTCATTGCTCTGCCCTCTTCAGAGCTGTACAAATAACCAGTTTTCAAGTAACAGCAGTTGAATATTATGTAGCCAACAGGATAGGCTGTTAATATTGTGGAAGGTCATTATTGACTCCATATGTCCTCTGATAATGACATCCTCATTCTGGAAACACACTCTCCCCTTGCGTCATCTGCACAGGTCATTAGAGATGCTGAGCATGACTTCTTGGTGTGTACTGAGTCTTGAAGGGGCTATGCTCAAGCTGTGCAGTAGCTGAGGAAGAGATTTCTTGGCTTTCCTTACAGTACCTCCTGTATCTTACACAGCTGAATGCTTCAGGGCAGGGAAAAATCTATGGGGTTGTGTTTTTTGTCATTTGGGTTTGGGGTTTTTTTGGTTGGTTTAGTTTGGGTTGTGTTTCTTTGAGTATAGAAATCAAGTACAATTTCTGGAAGGAGTTTTCAGCAGAGCAGGGGCATGGCTTTAGGCTGTAACACAGTTTTCAGATCTCTTGGGACCAGAGCTCAKCTTCCTCCTGTCTTGAGAAGTGCTATCCCTGTTCTCCCTTCTTCCCTGCTAGTTAGTGTTGAATTGACAACAGACAGGGGAAGGTGTAAGGAAGAGGAGGAACTGATGACCCTTTGATTAATGCATGGAGAACAACCAGATGCTGTTTCCTAAATGTGCAATTATTGGCAGAAAGTAAGCAAAACTGGGTAAGAGAGAGCACACACTGTTGTTTGTAAGGTGTGTGAGGGGTATCATGGAGGTGCCTTTGAGGCATCATTGCATCTAGTTGACCTCACAGGCATTACAGTTGAGCATTTGATTGCATTGGCATTGGCTGTAACCTGCAGTCTCTGATTTTGAAAGTAGGTCCCACAACATTGTCTGTTACCTTTCATTAGCTGAGCTTTGTGAGGATTTCTTAGATATCCTGATATGCAGTGCTGCTGTGTCTTTCACCTGCACCTGTGTCTTAAGGACAGCCATGAGTATCACCTCCTGCACAGTGTCGCTGATGTTTGTGTAGTGAAGTATTTCTCAGCAAGCACCACTRCAGTCTTGGACTCCTCTGCTTTCTAGATCATTCTCAAGTATAAACCTTCCATTTGGTTTYGACCTAAAAAGCTTTGCATGTTGCATATCTGTACCTGAGAAAGTGCCTCCCACCTTACCAAGGGTCTCCTACCAATCACACATCAAATGTGTGGGAAGGGAGCTGGTGGGAGTGTTGTCTTCAGCAGGGCTGTTTGGACTTGTTTGTGCTCTTGGTCCAGGAAACCATGGGCATCCTGAGCTTTGGGAAATGTGTGAGGGGCAGGGATGTAGRAGAGATGGTTTCTGCCCTCTCCAACTAATCTATTTATATCTGTCTATCTCACATATTTCCCTGGCACCTATCACCTTGGCAGCTAAGCGTGTTTCTCAGATGACCATGGCTTTTTTAATCTTCTCCTCTTTTTAATAGTGTTTTCGCCTTCTTTTCAAATGTGTCTTTAATAAAGTTAGGAATTCTTGCACAGGGTTTTATAAACATGTGTTATTAAATTTTAAATCTGTTTTGAAAGTGCCTCTATCCTACTCCCTCCTAGTAAAGTGACCTTTTTAAATGGAGGGAAGTGGGTTTAGATGACAGTCATGATAAATGCGGTCATGTTCACTCAATAAAATAAGGCCCAGTGCATTTGAGGATAAATCAGTGAAATGTACAGCCCCACCTGTCTGTCTCCATCATTCATTTCCACTGTCACTTTCACAGTGGCTGATGGATCACAGTTGCTGTAAAATTAGACAGCCTTTAATCTCATTTCATCCTGATTAGCTTCTCCTTACCCTTTCCCTCTAACTCACTGACTGACACGCTAAAAACTCACGCCGGGCTGTGTTTGAGCATGGAGTACAAACTTCTCTTCAAATACCCTTTTTGTGGGGCAGGCAGGTGTTCCAATGAGTTGAAATCGAACAGTGAGAAGATGAGATTTTCACACTATTAAAGCAAAACAGCAGACAAAGACTCATATAAAATTAATCAAAGCAGCAGCCTGGCCARACTCTGATGGGCCAAATTCTTCCTGTTACACCTTGGCAAGCCTAGTGAGTTTGAGAAGACTGTTCCTACAGATACTGAATTTAGCATGCTCATTGCCATGTAACTTTGACTGTTACCTATGAAAAGTTAGGTCCTGTGTGGGTATATGTTCACAAGAATTGCAATTTACAGCACAAGTTTTCTGTGCTCTCAAGGGACATTTTATAGCAGAAAAAAGAATTGTTCATTCACGTRGTTTTGATTTCTGTGTATAACTCATGATTCTGAGGGGTCAAGGAGAAGGACTGTGAGGTGGCTGATTTCTCAGTTTCTCAGTTACAGTGCCCAAAGCTYCATTCCCCCTTGGATGTCCTCAGTGTTGCTCCATCCTCCCTGTTTTTCCCAGCTTCCTCCAGCCCTATGGGCAGATTMATGAGGGAAAGAACGGAGTTTTCCCCAAAGCTCTGAGAGAAACAAAGGTCACAGTAGAGGTCTGAAGTGTTTTATTGCAGTCACCTTTCTTTCTGAAGGCCAAATATTAGCCTTCTTTCTAAGGCAAACTTCCTTTTAGCTTTCCCATGAGTTATGGATGGTAGTTTGGGTCATTTGGGCCCAATCCTGTGCCAGTGGGAATGCTGCCATTGAGTTAAGTGGGAGCCGGGATTAAGCCATTAGTTTTCAAGGTTTAATTATCATCATAATTATGGGAGTCTTATTGCATACCTTATATGTATGGAAACAGAAGAAAAGCTTAAAGCAGAGTTTCATCCTCTGTTGACCCTGTTGTTGTCAATATGGTGGATAAATAAACACAAATGTTTGCAAAAGTGAAAACACAATGTGAAAAACATGCATGTGTGCTGCCTGCAGAAAGTTATTTTTATAAATTCTGGAGCTCTCCAGATTGACTAACAGAAAAAGCTGAGGGTGCAACCACCACCTTGGACCTAACTGGAGCCTATAATAACCTATAATTGTATTAGGTAAAAATTGAAGGCCTTGCAGACTGGTACTGGGGRGTCGCTTCTTGAGAGGAAGGGTCCCAAAAAGCATCCAAGCAAGGCAGCAAATTTCTCATGGGAGACCAAATTCCTTATTTACTACAAGCATCCACAGAATCAAGAGAAGTTCTGTGGTTTTGAGAGGGAATATTTTAAAATAGGAAAATATCTAAAACTGAAGAGTGAGATAAATATGATATGGTGGCTCAAAAGATAGCAAAAACTGACTTTGATCTTTCATCATTCCTACTACTTAGGAATCTCTAAGTAGTATAAAATCTTTCGCAGTGTCTAGCATTAGATTCCCAGTTCCCAGTTAATACATTAGGTTCCCAGTTAATACAAAGGTTCCCATTAGGTTCCCAGTTAATACAAAGTGAACCAGTAACAAATAACCTTAATTAATGAACTTTCACTGTACCTGGCCACCTAATTTAAGAACTTATGTGACTTGTAAGAGCACAGACTGTGCAAAAGATATTCGACCTTTACTAGAACCTAAAAGCATACCCTATTTATTCATCATTGCCTAGGCAAAAACTTCAGTAAGAAGCTTAAATGAGCCCGCTTGATCTTTAAGAAAATGTGTCCTAAATAGCAAAGCTGTGCGTATTTCTTCTTATTATTATTTGCATATGCTATACTSCACAACTGCATTCCGAGAAAAATAAAAGATAATAAAACAAATGAAATGAGAGATATATCACCCAAAATAATCCAAGTGTGAGATAGGCTGCCTCTTCTTTTTTTTTTTTTTTTGGCATTGGCAAAAGAGCACAAAGTAAGAGCTGGCCCTGAGTCATATTGATTTCCCACTGCACTGGTTTCCTAAGTGCTCTGTTGATCCGTGTCAAGCAATAAGTTCCCTGCCTGTACATGCACATCACCTCCCCATTTGTCCTCACCTAGATTTAAGGTGCCCATATGATGAGCTGAACAAGGACATCATTTTTCCTACTGGTGTCGCTGGGCCAAAACTACTCTATGGGGTGTGGTAACTAATGCTGTGTAAGTTTACATTTGCCATATAATATCATTATAGTGGGTATGGCACACTGCAATAATATGGGTGCATTATGCACAAGTAATCCCTATTTTTACATTTTAGCATTTGCAGTGAAAAACGTAAATTTTTAGAAATAGATGTTTTTATCTTTAGCTGGCCTGTAGTAATCACGATACCTCCCCCGCAAGAAAGGGAAGTTGCAGCCCTAATGCCACAGTTTTGATCTTTGTTAACAAAGGGCTTCCTGATTAGATGAATAGAAGATGTGTGATTGTGCTGCTAATGACATTGTACAGGAAATTAAGCGTATACATTTGGAAAAGGCATTAAATCAGCAGGACCTTAATTTAAAAACTTAAAACTGTATGGAAATGCAGCTTGTTCATTGCTGTGTAATAGAAAGCTACTGAACATACTGACTCTTCTTGTGGAAACATTACCAGCAGAACAAAGCTGGGCTGAGGCTTTTTTAATGTTTCAAGCATACTAGGATTCCCAGCATCTGCTTATTTTCAGGGAAATATCATGCAAATTCAAGTTCTTATTACAAGTTCTTTTTCGAGCAGCATGTATGGCACTTGGGCAGGTGAGGGGGTACTGAGGGACCAGAATTTCTAATTTTTTTTCCTTAATTATTTGCAAAATTGAATAGTGTAAGTTTACTGAATTGAATAGTGTAAGTTTACTAATAAGTGGCTTTGTCTGTTGCTGAGTCAGTGGACATACGTGCTGGAAATTACGCATTCTCGTATTATTTCATACCGATTATAAAAGAAGATCTTTGATAAAATCAGTATCCTGAGCTGACAGAGGATTCTTGCTTTGCTTGCAGTTATGCCATACAACAGTGCCCATCACTGTGTCGTGGAAGTGGAAAACTTCTTGTTTGTGCTGGGAGGAGAAGACCAGTGGAACCCTAATGGTACGTATTGAATACTAACAGGCAGAGGCAGCATCTGCCTTCCTGTGCCTGCCTCTCTGTCAGGTCAGCTGATGTAGTGATTARCAAGGGATTTTGAGGACCCTCAGCCTAATTGTTGAGCCTAGTGGAGGCTACTCCTCGGTATTGATGCAATAAATATCTGGTACTTTAGCATTAGCATCTCCGTCATTCATCAGCTCCCACATCCCTTGAGAAATGCCACAGGCAGCAGAACAGACTCTTGCAAGTGCATGCACCAGGCAGCATCTGTTAAAAAATTTAACCTTCATTTCCAGTCTCCTTCCAGTCATAATATAATAATGCAATTGCAGTAGATGAATGCTTCTTTTCTATTGTCAAGATACTTGCAGCTCAAGTTGTTAATGTGTTAATTATCTAGACTTTGAGATTCTTAAACTGATCCTTTTTTCAGTCTTGTGCAAGAGCTTCTCATATAGATTATCTGCTGCTACCTTCTTTGATTTGATTACTTCATAAATTTACCGCAAAGAGAAATTAAACAATTTAACAGGCTTCTGAGCAAAGCAAAAGGAGAATACCATGCCTTGCAAAATTCACAGAATTGTCAAGACATTGTTAAAAAGCTTGCACACGAAGAAAGAGTTGTAGTTGTAGCAGTCTGTGTAACAGAGATAATTATGACTGAGAAACCATAAAACAGCTTGCAGGTACACATTTTTACTTTAAAACACCAGAGGATCCAGCTGAAATTACATATACTGCATATATTTTATTGTGAATGCCCCATTTCAGCATCTGCACTAAACCAAATTATAGAAAATTGTTACATCTGTTCACTCCCTRAAACCTGAGACAAACAATCCAGGCCATCCTATAAGCATGTTTCTGGTGTAGTTAAGAATATCACTATATGTCTTACGAGAAGAGCCCTATAGTTTTATTGTTGAATGTCCTTTATTTGAAACAGGAGACGGCAAAGTATCCCTAATGACAATTTCTTTTAGGATCGTTGGCCACATCCATCCAGTGAGGGCTCCTGTTGTATTTGGTGGTAGGCACATGGATAGGCAGACCTTGTTCCAGTTCTTAGTTAAATGGCCATGTCACATGAAGGGTAAAAGAAAAGAAGTATAATTACCCCCATTTTAAACATGTGGCAACTGAATTGCAAGGTGGTGGAGAGATGGTACAGTGGGTACATATCCTGCATCTGAGATAGGAGTCAAACACAGTTGTTTTTGAGATGAATAGTACCCAAGGTCTAAGATTGCCTAGATCWAGATCATCTCCTGAGCTGAAGATGTTGCTGAAGACATTTACCAACTTCCCTGTTCTGTGAATACCAGTGSTGGGATTCTTTTCTAGAGAGAAGATAGCAATAAAAAAAGGTATGAGCATTGCTATACTAATCYCTTTATCATATGGATCTTACTTGTCACTGAAAGTGGACCTGAAATGATAAACTACATCCTGTGCTACAGCAGGGTATATTCTCTCTTGAAACCAGTTTGCTCTAAGTGTGCAGCTACATGAGAGCAGCTCATTCATGCCCGCTTGAATTTATGTAGAGGCCTTTGTCTTCTGTCCTCAGAGCACAGGATGTACCTGGATCTACCTGGAACCATCTTGCCAAGGCTTTACAAAGCTTCTGCTTCAAATGAGAATGTTCCAGGTGATTTTTGCAATGTAAAGAATTGTCTTAGAGATGGGGCAGTGGAAAGACATTGCTTTAGCCATCAGTCCATCTGGTTCTTGAGAAACTGCACRGACCCCAAAGAGTGTTCACATCTCCTCTGTGCTCTGCTGACTACATGACAACCCAGAAAGTATGGCAGACGTTTTTTCTCACATTTTTATGTCCTCTTATGGCTGTGCCTGAGTAAAAGCTGATGAAACAGGGTGCACAACATAGCTGTAGATTTAAGACCAACCTTGAAACCTTCAAAGCCCATCACCTTTTGTCATGGCTGAAGAGCAGAGAGCAGCATCTGCTTCCTTTTGTCCCATCATTCGAATTTGCTAATCATGATTTCTGTCCACTTGTCCCGAGTTCTGTGTTCTGACAGGTGCATCCTAACATGTGCAATCTCCTGACTGATGAGCAAGGCAAAGTAATAGAGTTCTCTTTCAAACTGAAATCCAGATTTAAACTACAGGCAAACCAGTTACACCAGGCAGATTTAAGTAGGTCATCAGGCCCTTTCCTGCTGTCACAGGCATCATATGGTCCTCTTTTGTAAATTTGCTAAACTACATTTGAAAAGCAGTTGGATTTCTAGCCCCCACTACTCCTGCTGGAAATTGTTAGWGAATCCAATTGCTCTAAATGACTAGGAGCCTTATTCTGATATCCAGTAAAATGTATTCTTTGACTGCCTAAATCACCTTGTTCTCATGCCAAGGTTAGCCTTTAGTTTAATAGTTTTTTCCCCTCCTAGAGATTTGTTCCTCTAAAGTATTACAGACAGCACTCCTATCCCCTTTCAGCTTTTGTATTTCCAGGTGCAACAGGCCAAGTTCTTTGTCTCCTGCCATAAGGTGAACTTTCTGCACTTCCTGTTGCCATAGTAGCTGTTCTCTGTACCTGTTCTAGTTTGATTTCATCTCCCTACCTGTGGAGGACACAGATTTGTATCCCGTATTCCCACTCTAGGCTTAGTAAACCCTTCTTCTTCCCTGCATTGTACAATCTTCTACAACCACGGTGTTTGTAGTGAGTATGTGTGTGACACATTGTGTCCCGGGTGCCCGAATCATGGGTTTGTAGGCAACAATGAACAAGCTGCTGTGTAACTAATGAGCACTGAAGTCCCAGTAACTCTGAAAAGTGTGGTGAATATGGCAGCATTGAAATTGAGAAAAAGCCAAAAAAAAAAATAGAAGTCCAAACGCAGGATCAATTTATATTATGTTGAATTCCTGCTTTTTAAAATACAAAGATATTACTAAATGTCTTAGGGAAATCTAGAGCTTGTTCTAGCTGGCTGCTACTGTTTTGCTGCTTATTGAATCGATAGCTTTCTTGTCTGTGTACACTAAAGGAATCCAGGTAGGGACTAAGAGCAAAGCCTCACTTCACTAAGGCCAGTGTCAGAATGACCAGCTGCCCTTAGAGTGTGGGCATCTCACCCGATGTCTTGAGCTGGTGCTGAGATGGTCATGTCTTCGAGTGGCRCTCAGCAGGGTCCTTGTCAGGCACCATGCTGGATTTGAAGGGAGATGCTGCATTCTTCATCAGTCCTCTGCTCTACTCTCTTCATAAAGAACATGCTTATAACATGGCGAGGAAATCACTTTACTTCCAGAGCGGTCAGTGCGGTTTATTTCTCTGTTTTCTTGTAGAACATGATCCTAAATTATTACGAATACAAATTCTTGCTGTATTGTTATTCTTCTCCATGGTTTTGATGGKCTGTTTACACATGCTGAAGTAAGCRTGGAGTGGAGCAAGCAAAGCGAGCCAATCCTGAAGAGGCTTGTCTGATGCAAAAATATTCAYCTTGTAGAATGCCCAGTGACCATTTATAGAACTGTGACACAGGGAGTTAGGTTTTTCTGCTGGCCTGTGAAGCCTCTAATTCAATTTTTTAGTCACACRTACATAAACAAAGGTTTCTGTTTTTAAAATGCTCATCTATTGAAGTCTCAGGTGTTACAGGAAATTGCCATGCACTCTCATGCTTCAGTTTTCTTGCTTTGATGTCAATCTGCATGTAAAATAAGGTGAAATCTTAATATCGTGAAGACATGAACACAGTTCTTGGGCTTGACAGCAGAGAGAAGCTAGTTAGCTGGTGTATGTTGCTCATGCTTCGTATTTTAGCTAACACACTTGGAATAAAACTCTTAAGAGTGTATTGCCCCTTCGATGCACATCTGTAATTCCTTCTAACTTACACYGAAAGTACATGGTAGAATAAACCATCTGGTGCAAACACTGCATACCCCATGCTGATGGCTTATGCAGCTCCAGGTTATTTGCACAAGGGGTTTTTGCCATGTTCCACGTAGAAATGATGAGAGGAGAAAGAAAAGCACATGTTCTCCCTTTAWTTTTTTTTACCTCACATAAAATACTCTAGTCATAAAAATACCATGGGGATGCCCTCTTTTGGGCAGCAGTTTTGTTTAGTGCTGTGATTTATTGTGGCTGTGAAAATACCACAGCGTGTGTAAGTAAATTTAAATACACATTTTCAAGATCTTATTACAAAGACCAAGAATAATCGCTATCTGCTTTTACTGCTAGTGACTGCTAATTCAAACCTTGCAGTGCCCCATTTGTTGAATTATTACTGTACACATAGTGTAATCATACATTGTTGTAAAAGGGGGAACCCTTCATAAAAGGTGTCAACTTGTGAAGTGTGTGTAATATATATTACAATCATGATGTTAAATACATGAAACAAACAGCTGAGTGTCAAAATAATCTATCTTTACAGGCAAACACAGTACAAACTTTGTTAGCCGATACGATCCCAGGTTTAACAGCTGGATACAACTTCCACCCATGCAAGAGAGGTAAAAACCTGCTATGTGTTTTTCAATTTCTGTTTTCTCATCCTAAGAGCAGCTGAGGTTTGGTTTAGTTCTGGTAGTAAGGAGGCCTATAGAAGCATTGGAAACACAAATAAAACTGCAGCCTGCAGTTGCATCACATTTGTCTCTTTAATTTTTAAAACTTCTCTGACTCCAAACTCCAGATGCCAAGTCCTGCAGTGCTAGCTCATGCAAAATAGTCATGGACTTTATGCAATTACTGRTTGCTTGAGTACAATCTGAAGGAAGTCTCCATAGTGTCCTGTCATGTTCTGTGACTGAAATGTCAKGATGAGTTTGYRGTAAACAAGCAGTAATTATAGCCARATAACTGAAACCCTCACATGTTGACTCCATCCTGTTTCACCACACCAGCCACGAAAAGCTCTCCTGAACATGTCTCCACTTGTCAAAGGATCCTTAGTCCTAGGTGGCCTTTGAGTGAAGTTGCTGTCAGCAAGTGCARATTAGAATTGCTCATGTTTTAATCTTGCTGTGTACCAAAGAGCAAAGGTGCATGTGGACTTGAGCAATGACTCGTAAAGATGACGTGAACTTAACTGTGGACCCCAAATCCTACCATTACAGAAAAAAAATCACCTATACCTGAAACTGAATGTTGCATGTTTCATAAGAATATCAAAGGCAGAAGATCCAAAGTTACAATGTTATTTGAAAAAAATATTCAGTGTCCTTCCTTTACTTCAGCATCCATTTTCTCATGGATCCCATATACAAAAGATCTCACAGTGTCTSCCTCACATGCTTTTCTTATTCCATGCCAATATTACAGTTCTTTTTTTGTTGACTGTCCACAGTATTCAGATGTCTGGCAATCATAAATGTATTGGATTCAGTTCAGCCTCGTGATTTGAGGTGTGTCTTATGAGATGCATGGAAATATGGCTGTCTTTTCAAATTTCCAGGGGTAAAATATCAGTGCAGATTTTTTCAAGGACCTTTGTTCATGATTCAGTTTGATTGACTTAAGTCCCCACTTAGGCAGCACCCAGCCTTCTCCCTCTTTTCTGCCAGCACTGTGGGATAACCTTCCCAGCTGTGAGGTTTTACTTAAAAACAGAGGGACACTTTCCACTCTGGTTCAGCTTCCCAGACTGAGTCACTGCTGGCTTAGGTGTTGGTGTGGGGGAGACAGGAGGTGAGCATCAGATTGGGCATCACTGTGCCCAGGAGACTGACTGGGAGACCGACTGGTGTTTGTGTGGAGCCTGGAGCTCTTCCATGGAGCCTMATCTCTGTCCTGATGAGGCCCTCTGGGTATCTCCAAGGAAAATTCCTGAGGGCTGTTGGTGGCTGGCTGAGCGGTTGGGTTTATTGGGCTGACAAAGTMCAGAAGGCAGAAGTAGGCAGTTGAGGGTTGGAGAAAGGACGCAGTAGGAGTTTCTCCACCTCCACATTGGCCAGCTGTGTTTCTCTGGAAAACCGTGCAGCGGGTGACTGGCCCTGTGCTCTGGCTGAGGCTGCCGCCTTCAGCCAAGAGGCAGAAACTCAGCTGTGCTCCTGCTCCTGCCCACAATAAACTGTAATGTTCAGCACATTGGTAATGAGAACCACAGCTCCTTAGGGAGGTACTGAAACACCATGGATCACTCATACATAGTTCCTTCTGCATGGGGCTTTGCTATGACAACGTAAATTGTCACCTCTTTTGCCCAGGACACATAGCTCCTGGGCTTACCCATTGCTTTTCTTCAAAGGCTCCCAAGTGTCAGGGCTATTGCTGGAAAACAGGGATTATAAAATCACTTTCTAAAATGTTTTTGATGGTTTATTTACACRATCCTGACAACTTCCTCAGAGTTGTTGGAACCTTCAGAGGTGGGGACTGGCCCAGTTTGTAGAAGATCATACGAACAAGAGAGAGCTTTTATGCAATTACGTTTCCCAGCTCCTTTAGTGAGATAAAGTTCCCATTAAAGTCAACAGGCTGTTYTCCCCCTGCTAGGAGTACAGGGTCATGCCCTGTCTCTGCTGGCATAATGCAGGCACCATTGACAAGACAGACTGTTTAATCCGTTTTTCTGAGCCATTATGGTCCATCAAGTCAAAACCTACTTAGGAATTTTAGTCTGAGAATAATTGGCTGCATRGACTATAATAGCTCCTTTGAAATGACTGCCAGGTAAATGCAGGACTCATTCACAGGCAGTATATTCTCAAGTCAAAAATCTGTGTGAAATATTTGATAAGTAAACTTTCATCTCACATGTCAAAATCCATATATGATTGATTTTACTGTATGAGCTATAAAGAAAAGTTTAATCCCATTATAGATTCAATGTCACCAGTGTATTTTCTTTAAAGCCAAGTTTGGTTTCTTTTCACTTGAGGAACATCTCAAAAACAGATGCTTTTGAAAAGTGTGTTATCAGGAATTTGTTGTTTAGAGAACCAGCAAATGACTCATAAGCTTTGGAAACACACATCTGCCTGCCAATKCGATAACAACAGGAAGGTTTTTGGAGAGCACTTCAGTTAGACTAAGACAGATACTGAAGGAGCAATCTTTGTAGCAGTTGTATCTGAACTTGTGGTGTGAGCCTCAGCTGGACACCTCAGTCAGAGCTGTTGAATCTTGCCAGCTTAACACAGAGCTTTTCAAGGTGTATGGAACAAAACAACATTTAAAACAACTTGCKTTTTCTTATATTCTGAGTTAAAAARTTTTGTTTGAAGACCAGCAAAAAGCATGGTGTTGTATCAGGTTCTGAAGAAGCTCAAATGGAAGTGGGAAATGAGCAGGTCAATGTACTCTCTGAGGCTGAGTGAGGTGAGAAAAGGCACAGAAGAAGAGATAATAAAATTTAACATTTTATTTTTGTGTTTGACTTTAACAATAGTAAGGTCAACTCCTATTGAGATTACTTATTTTTTAAAATGCAAAGCATGCACTCTCTAAGTGACTCTGAAATCAGGTCCAGACATTGTGATTATCAGTAATAGCATGGTAACTTTAAACCTGAGACTGGTAGTTCTATTTGGTGTTTCAGGGCATAAATTCATAATGTGTRAAAATCACAAGGAAGATCTTCCCTTTTATATGTGTATACTTGAAAGAAGAAGTTGGTTGGGTTGATGGTTGAGTGAAGGAGTGTGAAGGAAAAGCATTTTAGAGACCAGTGAACATCAAGTACCTTCAAGTTCTGAAGAAAATCACAAAATAATTGTCTTGTTGTCCATATTCAGATCCTGTGGTACATTCTTGCTATCTGATTAGAATGGATAGTGTCTTCCCAGTATCGAAGGGAAAGTTTTCATGCAAAGATTGCTGTATTATAGTTTAATCTGAATCATATTTTACAGCAGTTTAAAAGTCATCACTTGACAGCATGCCTGTACACACTATGACAGCATGCCCTTACACACTATCATTGAAAACTCAAAAAATCCCAGAAAGCCTAAAATATTTGTGACAGAASCTACCGAGTGAATGTTCACATCCAAGCTGAAGAGTGAAGTGTGCTGATGCTTTCATTTTGGCTCCTTATAGTGACACTGTGTGGATGAAACCAGGAGTACACGTACAGAATATCGTCAGTGAAATCCTGGTTAAAAGAATAATGCATGCAAATTGTGTCTACCTCTGTTTATTAAACCTGAACTAAAAAAAAAAAAAGCAAAACTTGCTGAGAGCAGTTTGTTAATGGGTTTGTCAGAGAAGGTGCACAAGGACAGACGAGTGGATGGGGGAGCACTGGCAACAGGCAGCCTGTGGGTTTGTGCCTTGTGGCTGCTGAACACAGGAAGCTTGGAAAATGTGTACCTGCCCATGCARGCTCTCTCATATCCAACAGGATGTGATTTCTACAGCTTTTCCTACTTTTGGGGCAACTGTGGGCTGTGTTGCCTCAGGCCCATCACATATTCTCAGAAAGCACATGATTGCCTGTCACACCTATAGCCTCTGTCAAATTAGAATGAAATCAGCCAGCAAGTTTTTTTAGGAGACAACAGTAGGCAGACATGGGTACATGTACAGTGTAATCAAATTAGCTTGGTTTCCATAGAATATCAGGCTAAAAACATAGATGCACAATTTGCTGCCCGACCATGCAGAGCAAAATATGCCATCAGCTTCTATCTGCCCACTGACAGATAAATTAAATGGTCTTATTTAATTCATCAGTTGATCTGGGAACACTTACCAGTGTTCCTGTCCTCATATTTTCATGGGATTTTTTTCAGTAGTCTTCCCTGTGGTGGAGTTTCCAGCCCCACTCAGCAAAGGGTGCTGTCCCACACTGTCCAAGTTGCCCATGTCCAGGCAAGGTGAGAGCAAAGAAATGAGCAGGAGGTGCCCAGTGACCCTGGCTGGTGAGGAGCCCTGTCAGGTGTGCACCAAATCACAAAAGTAAAGTCAGAAACAGGCAGTGATGCATCAAATCTGTTCCCTCAACACCCAGCCAGCCCTGATGTTTCCATGGCTGTGTCTCTTGGTGTCTGTCTGACTTCTCTTTCAACTTACAAACCACCAGCCAGGCTCAGACACATTTAACAAAGGGGCACATTTCTCCAGAGTGTTAAAGGACACTACAAATTTTGTGAAGATAGGTAGCTGTGCAAAAGAGCAAGATCTTATTCCTGCCTTTGCTGAAGGAAATGCTCCTCAGCATGCCTGGCTRGATGTCAGGATAGGGACAGGACACACCAGACTTTGCTGTCTCACCTGGTCATGGGTGGCTCACAGGAAGCCTGGGGAGGAGTTGGACATGCTGGAGCTGTTCACTGGGGGTGCTGTGCTCTGTGTGTGCCACTGCTCATCCCAAATGCTTTGCAGTGGTYTGCAGGTTCAAGTCCTTGATGGTGCAGGCGACCTTCAAGCCCCTGAGATTTACTGCCTGAGTCAGGATGGAAATATGCAGCTGCTCCCAGATTCAAATGAAGGTGCCTGGGCAGGAACCAGAGCGCACTGAATCAGCCACAGAGCAGGGTTTGGCAAGAACAGCCACACTCCAGAGTGCCTGCTTTGCAGGAGCTGTCAGAGCTACACTTTGCTGTGCCTGGCCTTCYTGCTCATGTCTGGGCTCCCACGTCATTCTGGTTTCACCCAGGAGAAATTTTTACACTGGGGACTGACAGCTCTTGTCATTCAATATTTTGTACAGCTCTTCATCCTAGCCCAGCTATGCTCTTTTGCAGTTTCYTTTCTCATGTTATTGCAGCTTAAAATTAAAGGTCTCTACTCTAGGAAACATTCCTGCTGCTGAATGATCTTTCCCTGGAATGAGCTTTCCCTGGAAGTGGATTACACCAACCAGAGTCTCTCAAAATCATCCAGTATTCAATTTTTACTTCATCAGCAAGCGCTCACCATTAATTTTGGAAGCGCAAGGAAGACAAACTAATATATGCCCGACAGTCCTCGCCAGAAAAATTAACTTTTCCTGCATACCTGAGTTGAATGTAAAAGCAGACAGGTGGCTAAAACTTTTCTCAGGGTTAGTTGGATGAAGACAGACCTCTTTTGAGTTAAAGGGTGGAAATGTAGCGTTGTGGCTAGCRTAAGGAAAGTTGTTCTATTTGCAGTACTGCAGAAGGAAGAAAAAAATGATAATTGAAGAAAAATTTTGATGATGTGGTTCTCTTAGTAAATTGGGAACAATGACCCTTGAAGGACCATAAAGAAAGTGAATGTCAAGATAATTTATTATTGTTACATTATCTACCTCATTTTTCACTTTGTCTTACTGAGTTGTTATATCCCTTACAAGGTAATGCCCCAAACATTAATAAGCACCCTTTTATCTTTCACGGGTGTGAAAAAGCAACAAACAGCTTTGAAAAGGGATATTTTCTGGCAGTTTTACGTGTGCCTAATATTTTTTTACGTGAAGTGTGTATTTGATTAGCAAATCAGCCACAGTCTCTAGGATAGCTGTAAGCATGTGAAGCTCCTGGACAATTGTCTCTGATGGAGCATTTGAAAGGAGCACCTCTCTCAGTTCAGGGAGTCAGCTGGAGAGGGGGAAGAAAATATTTGACATGGCTAATTGGTYTGTTGTTGGCTTGTTCTGTTGTGTYGTGCCCTGTCCTCCAGGAGGGCCAGTTTCTACGCCTGCCGCCTTGACAAGAACTTGTATGTCATCGGTGGAAGAAACGAAACCGGCTACTTGTCCAGTGTGGAGTGCTACAACCTGGAGACAAATGAGTGGCGTTATGTGTCTTCGTTACCACAGCCCTTGGCAGCCCATGCAGGAGCCGTTCACAATGGCAAGATCTATATTTCAGGCCAGTGTCTTGTATAACTCCTGCTGTATAAYCAGAAAATCAACCCAAAACCACCATTAAAAAAAATCGCAGAACCCCAAAATCAGAGAGCTAAATTCCTGCTGAAGCACAATTTCTTTCTTTATATTAATTAGCTAATATGTATTTACTTTGCAGGAGGTGTTCACAATGGAGAATATGTCCCSTGGCTGTACTGCTATGACCCTGTGATGGACGTCTGGGCCCGAAAACAGGACATGAACACAAAACGAGCAATCCACACTTTGGCTGTAATGAATGATCGACTGTATGCAATTGGAGGAAACCATTTGAAAGGTCACATTTTTAATTTTTAGAAAGTATCTCAGTGTCCCACATCTCTGATAAAGGATATTTTTGTTAGACAGTCACTGTTAAATAAATTCAAAACCAAGCAACACAATTTAACAGGACACTTGAGCCAGCAATTTTAAAAACATTTTATGCAAATTATTTTAAAATTATAACAGTACATTAAATAGATGAGTAATGAATGCTTTAGATAATAAAAATGGGAGCTTCCATTACTCAAAGGCATGGACAATTTGTCATTACCAAGAATTCAATGAAACAAACAGATTATTCTTTGACCYGAAAGTACCAGCAATATTTTCCTCTGTAAATCATTTTCCAAAATGTGCAGTTAAAGAGAGCTTTRTTCAGAGCAACACACAAAAACAAGCTCCTGATTTAATGAAGAGAAAAAAAAGCAAACTTCTAGTCATCAAATATTAGGACTAGGCTCTTTAGATCCCTTTTTAGTATTAAATGTAGCTTGTTTATTATAACTCTTTTTAGAGGTCTCTTGTTTTTATCTTTTGAAAAAGTGTTATACTAAAATATCTATTGCTTAGGCATCTGGTGTTTTTATCTTAATACCTATATGTCATTGTGGTTAGTGTTAAAGAGATGCTTCTTAATCCCACCACCTAAACAAAAAGCACACCTCCTGCTCCTTTGTCCCATGACAATATCTGATAGTTTATGTTCACTTTTTTTCTTCTTCTTTAATGTTTAAAATAAAAAAAAAAACAACAACAAAAAACTCTCAACAAGATAAAATCATAATATAGAAGAAAAAGTTTACTGCCAGTAAGGTCAGGTCATGTGTGACTCCAGTAGCTGGGTCTCCATGACACTGTAAAGCCACATGCTGCTTTTGGAGATCTGAGTGTCTGTGGAGCATGCAGGGGACAAAGTCCCATATGTAAGTTTTCCCTGATGAATAGCACTGGTGCATAAATCCCTGCAGGCAGGTTCATGGCTCCTGTGCCTCCACTCCCCACCCCCAGTTGTCATGGGTGTTTCTGGGCTGGATCTTAGTAGGGGAAGAGGGCAAAAGCTGCTTGCACATAAATACCTGCAAATTTTGTAGCGGTTTCAGTGCTCCACAGTGTTGGCTTTTCCTCCTGCAAAACTAAAATCTGTCACAGCTCTCAGATGCCTGGGTTTGCATCAGCTTGAATTGCTTCTATTCTGCCGCCTTCTTTCTTCTTCACAGTGTCACCTACTTCTCATAAGCCTTGCATTTTTGCCTCTACAACTGTTGCCCTGGGTGTCTTARTTATGTATGTTCATACACAGTTATGTATGAACTGCTCACTGTTGAGAGAGGTATTTAACATCCAGGAAAGACATGAGTGTCTGGTAAAAGGACTTTCGGAAAAAAATTGGTTTCTCCTATATAGTGAAAGGAAGAACTGCAAGAACAGAGARGAGGGAAGGGACTGAAGTGTGGATGAAACAATACAAATTCTCCATGGGCAGGGAATAGCAGGGCTCCATGGGAAAGCCCTCCTTTGTGTACCTGGAACTGTGTAGTAGTATTAGTGATGCATTTATCACATCACAGCTGATCATGTGCATACTGCTTTTGTTACAGAGCTTTGGATGTGTTCTGGGTGCACAGCAGTGGCCTTTTATGGCCCCTTGAAAAACTTAAAGCAGCAAAGAATTATTTCATATTACCAATTCAGTCCTGACATAAATAATGTTCTAGAAAACTGCTTCCTTGAGAAGTGCCAATATCTCCAAATACTCTTTTTGCAGAAAATTTCGCTTTTCTGTGCTGTCATACCTTGAAGGGAAGACTGAAGTATTAGGTAAAGCACCTCAACTTAATAAGAAAGTCCTTATTTTATTGATGATCTGCTAAGGAAGGTAGTTTGAGATAGGAGAATGCCTGAATATTGGAGCAGGGACTGGGACTCCTGCCTCTGTCTGTGTTCAGCTCACTTCATTCATATTAATTGATACAGCTTGAGAATCTTGAGCAGAGACCCCTCTGCCCTTTGGTGATCAAACAGCAGCAGTCACTTGGACCATTTTTTGGCCTATCAGGGAAGATGGGACCACCATTTTTTGTGGTAACATTTTTTGTTGCCTTAAAGACTKTACCACAGCTGTGTGCTTTAGGGTRCACCTTAAATCAGCTGGARAATTGAAACTGTCCTGCACATCATGTCCATCATACTAAGTACTTTGTCCCTCTAGAATCGAGTGGCATTGGTTGTCTAAGCTCTTCCTGGACTTGYTGGACATTGATTTCYGWGCAAAATTCAATCCATTCACTTTTSAATAGATTAGATCTGCTTACTTTTGAGAGAGACTGCCAGGACAGTCTCTTCCTACATCTTCAAACTTGTATCAGCACTGATAGATGAGGAAGAATTTTGCTTGAACCAGCTTGTGTCACTGGTAAGTTATTACTGAGTGTTTCCTGATGCAGTCAGGTTTTCCATAGAACTAATGGCAAAAATCTTCACCAGATTTATTTGAACTGAAATAATGAAGCATTAATGTTACAGAAGTTGACTTAAATGTGTGTGAAAATATTTTCTAGAAAAAGGTTTAACAATTATGYTGTAATCATAATAATGTAGTTGTAACTGTAATTTAATAAAGGTAACAGTAAAACAAGTAATAAAACACTATGTCATAACACATKTTCTTTTTTCTCAATGCCCTCATSCAGGTTTCTCCCATCTCGATGTAATGCTTGTGGAATGCTACGATCCAAAAGGTGACCAGTGGAATATCCTTCAGACTCCGATCCTGGAGGGTCGCAGTGGTCCTGGCTGCGCAGTCCTTGATGACAGTATTTACCTTGTAGGAGGCTACAGCTGGAGTATGGTGTGTACCTGCTTTCTACAGTCAACTTTCTTTTCCTTCTGASTTCTTGTGGCTGGTCCATATAATGTGCAGATGGGGTGGAGAGGAGATAAGGGGGGAATTAACTGCAGGGGCAGGTTTGGGTTGGTTTTCAGCTTGTGGAGAGCATGGAATGTTTTTTCACCTTCGTGCTTTTCTATTTAGATAAGTTATTATTACACTGTTTTCAACCATATGGAGTAATTTGAAAATCAAGTGATTCATAGGACTATAGGCTTGTGAGATGCTTGTAAAGGAGACTGATTTTCAGAGGCTRGATGCTGAAAAAAACCCCAAACTCTTTAAGGGTTTCTAAGTTAGAGTGATCATGAGTCACTTTCAAATATCTTTAGAGCTGTTGTGTGACTTGGATTTCACCAAAGCCACATTTAATATGAGATTTTGTTCTGCTACAGGGAGCCTACAAATCTTCTACYATTTGCTACAGTCCTGAGAAAGGGACTTGGACAGAACTGGAAGGAGACGTTGCGGAGCCCCTTGCAGGACCTGCGTGTTCGACTGTGGTATTGCCAGCCTGTGTTCCCTACAACAAGTGATGGTCTGGGAGCACTGACACGAACACTGAGTGCATTTGGGAAAACAGTGACGGGTGACGTAAATATTTTATTAGAACAGAATTCCTGTTAAAACAAAGCTACCATAATTGACCCCTCATTCCATGTTTATGCTTTGGGAGCAAACTGAAAGAAAAGAAAAACCAAGTGTTGTCCCATCTCAGATAGGTGCTGATGTCTTATGAAGCAAGTAGCTAAAACACACCGAACATTACATACTGACAGACTGCCATTTCAGACTGATTTAAACTTTYCCTGCTGCAGAGACACTCCTCACGTCAAATTTAACTTTAAAAAATAAATGATGGCTAACTGTTCAATACAGCCTGAAGAGACAAGATCAGTATTGTGCATTGTACCTACCTGCATGTGATCTGTGTTGAAGTCATGAGGATGTTGTTTTCATGAATGCTTCAGAATTCAGATAGTGAAAAGCTCACACTGCATTGCAGAATTGTCTCCTCCTCTGTAATCCTAACCTACAACTACTTCATATGCTCTTCAAGCAACACAGCATCAGAAGATTATAAAAGGTAAAGAAATATCATTCAGTTTTTGCACAGCTTGGCAACTAATACACTCTGCCTCCAAAGTCCCCATGTGCAAGTGCAGCAGAAAGCAGACTACAATGAAAGCTATGCTTTACAGAGCAYTTCTTGCAATAGCAGCTTAGGGATTAGGATCAAATTCTTCTAATCACACTTGTGTAAAGTCAGAGTCATTTCACTGAAATCACATGGAATGACTGTTTTTGCATTAGTATAACAGAATTTGAATCCTACAGCTTAAAATCTGGCTTTGTAAAATAAGTTGTTTCTATGACCACTTAACRAAGCACCAGAAACCTTACTTCCTTTTTACTAACCTGTTAGATATCAGCACCTGTGCTAGTTCTTTCCAAAGACATGGCTACATTTACTCATAAATTTATTGCTTTGGACTCTGAAGTGCTTATGCACATTTTTGGAGAGGCATTGGTAAGTAGTTAAAGTAGTCCTGWGTGGTTGATCTTAAGATGCACTGTGAGAGAGTTTTACTTTTGATCCAAAGTAATATRAGGCTAGACTTTCCACTGCCTTATAGCCTGTGTAATTATTTACACATTGCAAAGCTAGTTCAGAATGCTCCTACATGGGATCCGTAGCATTTAGGATTTGCTTCATGAAGTCATAGTTGCTTGCACAAATCAGACTGTCTGTGTGTTAAGCTTATGTCTCTCTGTCCTGGCTTTGCAAAAGCAGTGACAAAATCTGAGCCTGATTCTTCACCACCTTGCAGTTAACAAACATAGTAATCTGCACCTCATTAAAGTATGTGCATAATTCTTCCACTGTGGTTTACTAGTGCTGCATTCATTATCCTCAGGACCACCCTCCTCACTGGTGTAAACTGATATTACTCCATTGAAGCCAATGGATGTACTTTATATCAGCTAAATATCTGGCCTTTAATTTGCCTACTTGTAGCTGGCTGCACCAGRTGAAAGGCAAAGGACACTCAGATCCTACATTTTCAACCCTGCACATATCTTTCACGACAGGACTTAATGCTAGTGCATTAAGCAAGAAACAGGAAGCTACTGGAGGTTGGTTTCTGCTGCAGAGGCAATAGATGGGAGAAAGACTTCATTATTTGCTCTGCAAAATAGAAAAAGGGTGAATGTACACAGAAATTACACTATATATTGATGCTTGAGAGCAGTATAAATAATGGAGAGCAAGTACCATGGGACTGTTTCTCTCTGGCATCAGTCCAGTTTTATTGCAACTCCCTTGCTTGCAGAAGAATTACACAACTTGTAAAATTGGAGTAATGCAGTAAAGACTGATACCATACAAATGCAATAATCCAATTGATGAGGTAGCTGCACGCCTGGAAAAAAAAATGTTTAAACAAAATAATTATCTGAAGAAGCTAACATTTAAATGTGCCCTTGGGGAGCTTTCCAGTGAGCATCACTAAGGAACTCATAAAGGTGGAGTGTACATCCTGAAATCTCAATCCATTTCTCCTATATAGTGCAATCTTAGTTGGTTTTGTATTTATTTATATTGTTCAGATCCAAGGGATCCCTTGTAAAATATATTTGGTGCAATCATGACTTTTTTTTCCTTTCCTGTTGAAAGTATATAAATATAAATATATATAAAAGAAACTGTTAAGATACTAAATGAGGAAACCTTGTATGACATTTAAAAGGTCTGCCACTGAACACTGTCACCTGTCTACTAAAATGCGCCATTTTAAAAGGATACTTCTTTTCCTTTTAAATGGTTCCTTTTTTTTTACCAAGATAATTTAAAGATTTACGAGGACTGTATCTAAATCTTTCTATCTTTCAGGAAGGCATGACCAAGGAAAAAGTGCTAACTAAATAAGTCACACAAAGAATGTAAATTTTGTACAGTACTAGACTGTGTAAATGAAGCTTGCTTGTAGGGGGGGAACTTTAAATAAAACTTTATGTACTAATTCAGCTGTCTGCCATATTCCTACTTACAAAGTGTATGTATAAATAATATCTACATTAAATTCTTTGGAATTTTTTTTATCATGTAGATGTGTAAACTTCCTTTATTTTGTGGCRTTCTGTAACGGCCTCATTGTTCTCCAAGTGTCATTACTCAGTGCTTGTCAATGCAGAACGGCAGTAAAACGCAGAGCTGGTCTTCCCCTGAGCACAGTGCCTGGCCTGGGAAAGCAGCACCTTCTTTCAGCAGGGAAAGTTTCACCCCTGTGCCTGCTGTGACTGAAGAAGCCACTGCTTGCCTCTGAAATGTCTCTGCCTTGCGCTGCTCCCTCTGTTCCTCTGTCCCACGGTAAGGTAAGTGAAAAGGACAGGGCTTTGTTGAGCCCAGTCTTGCTTTGGGGAATTCAGTGCTGGTAATGGCAACTTCAGACCTTTTCACAATGTCCCTCCTGTTGCAAGTGGCCCTTCTAACTATGGATATTTCAGTTCTTGGAGGCAAAGTGCTGGCATGGGCGTGCAGTAGAGGAGTWGGGACAAGAGGTATTGCCAGGCTGAGAAGACAAAGTAAAAGCAGGAGGTTCTACCAGGAAGCAGAAGCATKAYCAAGGCCAGTTACTATTCAAGSATTGTTTATTCATGCCTACCAACCTTTGTCAGGGRCCAGAACCTCCCTATGCAAATCAGGGTGCTGCACTGGGCAAACTGGCTCCTGTGTTTACAGCMAGCGTGAGCTTTACTGGAGGGTGGCTGTGGGCACAGTGAAAGAGTGTTCTGGTGGGAGGGAATCAATCCTGTTCAGATCTTTGAAGGAATGGAAAAGTCAGCCAGTGGCAAGTATGGTAAGACAGCATAATGAATAGAATTGTTTCATTAATGAGTTTATTTCAGCAGAGGAAGGAAGAGAGATTTATGTTTGTTTTGTGGGGTTTTTTTAAGTTAYGTGGGAGAAGGATGCAGTGGGCAGAGATACAATTTAGAAAGGAAGAGAGCAAACTAAGAAAGAAGAGATAAGAATAAAAGGAAGAAATAGAAAGCAAGATTGTGAGAGGAGAAGGGAAGTTTTTGAGAATCAAGGGCAAAGAAAAAATCAGGAGTAATGAGAAAAGCAGAGATGGTTTCTGATAAGCACATATCAGAGCAAGGCTGRAAAAAACAACAGGAAAGGCAATACAAAGAGCAGAAGAGAAACATTAGAAAATTCAATAGAAAACAACACAAGATAGACATGAAACTAACAAAATAAGCCCKTGGGTGATGGTATTCAGCTAATCATTTTCAGTGGTCTACCTGTCAAGCAGAAGGATAAATCAGCAGAGTACTTAGGTATTGCAGTGTTCAAGCTTTCAATGCACGGACTTCAGCACAAAAAAAACCATGAAAGAGATGCCCAGTGACACCCCCTTGCAGTGCCTGGGCTGTGGTGAACACCCAACCACTGCCAGCACCTGTGACAAGGGAGGAGAGCTGATTCTGGTAGTGGGAAGCACGAGAAGAGCAAATGAGTCACAATTCCTAGTCCCAGCAGCATTGGAGGGAAGTGCCTTTTCTGTTTCTGATTCTCTGATTAGAGTCATCTTTGGGAGCTGGACACATGGGCTATTCCATAGTTCTCTTTCTCTCCTGTCCTTCCTGCCAAACCTTAACCTCTGTTTTGTCCTCAGCATGACAAACTCACCTAGGCACTTTTGCAGAGTAGGGTCTGGAAAACAACAAATTGGTGAATGAAGGTATTKCCCTGGTCTTGAGCTGTGGTCCCATCCACCGGCTGAGAAAACTCATTTGCTGGTGACTTGCAGCCTGTACCCATGCCTTTAAGAATGACAAAGAGRGCATKTGAAAAATATGYTTTTCATTAATTACAGTCCTATCTTCGAAGGTACTGTGCACCCACCTCCCAAAAGCTGGCATTRCTTTCCTTCATGTGTTTGTCTCTCTTTCTGCTTTTAATACAATGATTTACTCTGCTAGCTGCATCTGTGAGCCAATTTCTGARAATAATCCATGCCAAACCTCATTATATATACTGGTTTCTATTGTATTATAATCACTCATCAACAAAGTACTCTAGTTCCACTGCTTTTAAGGGAGAGACCATATTTCAATTTAAATGGAGCTTTCTGGGTACAAACAAAGGAGACAGAAATCCCAAGCAATGCTAAAAGGCCAAGGTAAGTGCTGATGCACACACTCCAGGGCAGTTTTAAGATACACATTTCTAATTCCTGTTATTAGTGCAGCAGTGGAAAACAGTCAGTGTCTCAGCCTCTCGGGTCCAGTCCAAGGAAGCGGTGACGGCAGCAGTGGAGGTCAGAGTGGTTTGCAGGAAGGGAAAGCACACTAATGAATTCTAGAGGGCTTGTAATRCCATAAAAGATTCAGTTAATCTGCAGCATAGATGTTGATCAGCGAAACTGAACCTAACTCTCTGGACCTTGTCAGATGTATTCTGTGCATGTCAGTGTTCCACACCAATTACAGATTTTAGAAGATGCTCTCATGCAAAACTATGCACCCTAATATATAAGCCAGCTCAGATGTAACTAAAATTAAAATCTGACTGTGGTAAATCTCTGTGATCCTG